CGGAGAGCTTTTGCTGTGATTTTTGAATAATTAATTAATAATTCTACTCGTTCTCCAGGCCATCAGACAGCTTGAAGCAGAAATTGAAATCACACGGAAGGCAATGATCGCAAACTCTGGAACAAGAGAGATATTGCAAAAACAGCTTTTGGAATACAGGGGTACGTTTTCTAAAGCTGTCTTCATATGCTTCTGTCTTTCCTTTAAACCTCAAACTTTTGGGTTTATAAAATAGAATTCTAACAGTTACTGTCGTATTTAGCTCAAACCTGTGTGGTTGCATGGGCTGTAAGTCTGTGTGAGGACATTTTTGTGTGGAATAAAATCTGGGCGAAATAAAATTAGAGTACTTCTGAAATAACGTGGAAAAGCGAACAGTATCTGATTGTGCTGCCCCTCGATAACAATGATATAATTTAGAGTTCTTATTTTCAGGTACGCTACACGAGCGCTGGAGAGAGGACTTCAACCTTGATAAAGTAAGTGCTAAAAATCTTGATGGACAGAGGCAAGAATCTCTTGACATTGCATCAGTGTTCAACTTCTTTTTTACCTTTTCTTGATTAAAACAGATTTATGCTGAACGAGATTCTCTGATGTTGGAGGACATTGAAAGACTTCAAGAGGAAACTAGCGTGAGAGAAGAAAGGTAAAAAGACTGTCAGAAGGGAAACTAGATAGAAAATACTTGACTGAATAATATGGAAGTTTCTCTGTAAGCTAAAGAAGGCCAACTGAGTCTTATAATTATGGCACTAATAATCTTGGTGTCTCATGCTTTATGCAGGATTGATGAAATCCATCAACAACTCGAAGAGCAGCTGTCGGTCTTGTCTCACTTCATTGATGGAGTGGCAAACTTAAGACCTAAAGGTTTGTCTGGCGTACTTGTTATGGCGCTTTTTGTTTGACTCTTGAAAAAAAAAAAAGAGAAGTTATCACAACAATCATCCAGAACACTGAAAATAGAAAATCACTAGGCGTCATTGAGAATTAAAAGTAAAAGCTTGTAAAGAGACGGGTTCAAGCGCGGGAAAACGCGAATGACAACAATATCCAACGCCTTGAGAGGATGTTTACTCCCCGCCCCTTATAGAATTTTTGTTGTTTGTTATATCCTACGAGTATTTTTATTGAAGTTTTTTCATAAGCTCACCAGTATGGAACCACATTTTCATGCAGCCCTTTTCCCCAGTTCCTATTCGGATTTATGTAATTTCTTGTCCATTCTTTTGCAGACACTGCGCAATCAGAGCGTAAATCAGAAGGTACGAATGCATTTACATCCCTTAAGATTTATCCCCACTCATAGACTGGTTTGAAAGGATCCTTGCTCAATTTATGATTTAGTTTTGCTGCAGTGATCTATACAACACTTATATTTTGAGCTTGAGATTTCTATGATGAGGGTGTAGCCTGAATCAACACTGAATCACGCACAAAAATAGAGAGCGAGTAATCTAATTATTTTCTTATGAATTGACTATTCGCTTAAACTTGAAAAAAGACAGGCTTGTGTTTTATTTTGTTTTTTTTACAACCGCACTCTGCGAGGCTATTCTCACTATTCTTTATCTATCATGGAATAAATAGCGAGTAACGTATTCGTAACCGATCAGATTTCAGAATTTTTAAGAGAATTCTGGTGAGTAAAGTGGAAATTCTAACAGCGTGCAGTTGTAAACAAAATTAAATAAGAATATGGGCTTGTGTTATAGCTGTTTTGAAGACCATTTAATTTATACCAAAACAACTAGGTTATTCGCTCTCGATTTCAATGGCTCTAAGCCCTCCTTAATTATCACGCGATAATGTAATCGTTGAATAGCATCCACCCTCTACTGTGTTATTTCTTATTAATATCAATATGATAGGCAAAATATTACTTAAGTGCTTGTGGATTCGAATTGATCTTGTCGTGTGTATAACAGCTCACGAGTGAGTGAAGCGACCATAGGAAAATTATTATCATCACTCGAAGATTAAATTCGTACCCAAGCGACGCCATTTAATATCCGCCCTATGTCTGTTGTTCCATGATCTCCTCCTGCTCAAATTTGGGGGGTATCGATGGTTACTGATACGAAACAATTTTGGTATTTAGGCGGGAAAAAGATAAAACCAGGAAAACCGCTCCACGGATCTCCGCCACTGTCACCGAAGCCCCCACCCAAATCACCGACACGGCGAAAATCTACCAGTGACGTCAGTGCACCTGCTGAAAGCGATTTATAAAGCAGAGGAGATGCCTTGATGTGTGTGTCGAGATAGCATTTTATTTTGCTGTCATTAAGGGGGTTATTTATCCTGAAAGCTTTTGTAAATAAAGGTATCTATTAAATATGGAAGGATGATGTTATTCATTGAATAACAAGGGCATACTGGGAGAAAAAAGAACTCCGAGTGTTCCCAATAGGGGTGGAACCTACGATGACTCAAGTTGCACGAGTTGTTGCTTTGGACGAGATTTCATTAGAATCAAACGTTTGTAACTCTTTCCCCGTCCCCCTCCCCATTCCTCTTTTTATGTCAGTCCCTATTCAAAGAGAATGGCGACAACAAGACAAATTCAAAATATTTACAGGTATGGAAAAAGTTTTTCGGTAGATACGTTTGTGGAAACCATTTTCTAGTAGAACTTTAATATCGATTTATCGACACACAGAAAATGAAAAACCAGTCATAACAGCTTCAAGACAAAATAATCATACTTCTGCATTTTAAAGTGAAGTTCTCGATCAAACTTTTTCCCCACGGATCCGTAGCGCCAGCTGCATATCTCGAGGCATAATAGTAACCCTACGGGCATGGAGAGCACATAGGTTCATATCATCAAACAAACTAACGATGTATGACTCGGCCGCTTCTTGGAGCGCTAGCAAAGCTGTAGGTTGAAACCGCAAATATGGGGCAAAATTGTGCGAAATCTCACGGACAAGGCGTTGGAAGGAGATTTTCCCTATCAACAAATTCGTATTTCTTTGGAATTTTCTGATTTCTTTCAACGCTAGGGCTCCTGGACGGTACCTCAATCTTTTCTTTACGGGACGAGTGGTGATCAGGAGGGGTGTAATTTTCACAGGAGATATCGGAAATGTCGCGATTTCTTCATCCTCTGCTCCTTCGCGATTGAAAGGTAGGGTCTGATTTGGAAAAAATCGTTGATTTCCCACTCTGCAACCGCAGATCGTTTGTTTTATTCTAACCATGTCTTCAAAACACGTCCAAGACTTTTGATGTCTGCGTGTTTCCACCTATTTAGACAAAAAACAGAGGAGAAAATTATTATTGCTCAAAGCAAATGGAGGGTAGGAGTATAGTACGTGAACTTTACAGATAATTTTGCGGTACCTCAAATCAGTTCATTGTTAGTAGCAGTCATTTTTTGTAGTAGTAACAGGGGGAGTTTGTTAATAGCGTTAACCTTAAAAGTCCATTTTCGTATTTATTCGTATCATTTGTAGATACACCATTTTCAAAAACGTTGCAATTTTAAAATGTGTACCAAATATATAAACCTTTGCTTTTCCCAACAAAAACGACTGTATAAATTTGAATAAATATGTATGTGTGCATGTAAAAAAGTTGGCAGTAGTATTTTGTGTTGTCAGGCAAATCACTCCTTTCAGCCCACAAAGAGGTTTTCAGTCCCTAGAGCGCGAAGAAACGTCTGAATAAAGTAAAGCCTTAAATTAGCTTCAAAAATACAGAAGTATTAATTAGTCTTTTAACTCCAACCTTAACAAGACCCATTAATGGTTACGAACTAATCATGAACTGTACTTACGAAGTTCACGCCAGATACTTTGTTGCCAATATTTAATGAAAATATTTCAGGAAGTTAGCTTCGATTATCGCTTAGCCAGGTCTTCAGTCTTGGCAAACAACTCTGCGACGGGCGGCGGCAACGCGCAAAATGGCGGGAAAATATATTAAAGTTCACACGGCAACCAGGTGGACAATCAGACATGGTTTGAAAATATGCCCCAAAGTTCGAAAAGGTTTTTGAACAACTTTAACGTTGTGGCGGTTTGCTTCCTGACGCCTATTTACACCTCGTCAGAAAAAAAGGCCGCTAATTAGTGATCATATAAAGGACCTCTTGTTGCAGCGTTTAGATCACCCCTGATGAAGGCACTAGACAGGGGTGTCGAAACGTTGGGTCTATGAATTGTAACTTCTTCGGTTACATTCATTAAATCTATAAACCAGAGTAGCATCAAACCATGTCTGATTGTCCACCTGGTTGCCGTGTGAACGTTAATATATTTTATTTGCGAGAAAAGTATGGTCAAACTGTTGTTACAAGGGTCAACCGGCTCGCGAACATCAGAGTCCGCATTGCTAAGTATCGCTGTCATTTGTATCTCAATCACCGTTGTAAAGAAAACTATGCGCTTCCATCGAGTTTGAGATTTCGGCCTCCTTTACGGAGTGCTAAAGGATACAAGCTCCTAGTCCGTACTGGGTTTTCTTTTCTTAAGCTACGAATAGATGAATGTCACAGTTCCATACTACGTTTGCGAACGTTATTCTCTCGTTCGCTCAGTGAACTCTCTGCTTTGATTAATAACTCCGAAACTTCCCGGGCCGAGGAGTTCTGCAGTTCGAAAGAACTGCAGACGTTTACCAAACAGAGAGAGAAACACGACAGAAAATTCCGTCATTTGCTCAGTAAGAGGTCTCCTGTTAATTCAGGCTCATCTCTGAAAGATAAATGGGTCATGAACCTTCCTCCAAGGAGTTATCTGCGCTCAATTAAGCGCAATTTTTCATTAAAAAAACGACGATTTTTTGAAGGTTTGAATAAAGACTTAAAAAAAAATTCAACTTCTTGAAAACAAAGCAAATAGTCTCAAAGGTAATCTATTGTTTGCGCTATTGTTTTCTTCTAACAAAGAACTGTATGCATAATGAAGTATGGGGCTGAACGGAAACTTTGCCTTTGAATTCAGTAGAGCCGTCGATCCAATTCACCCTTGAGCGTGAAAAGGATAGACACTTGCCCTTTCTTGATTTAAATGTGTCCAGAGGGGTTTAGCGTAATTTAGAGACAAGTGTTTACCGTAAACCTACCCACACCGACAAATACCTCGCTTTCAATTCTCACCACCCTATTTGCCATAAAAATTCTGTAGCCAAAACTTTACTTAGGAGTGCTGACTGTCTACCATCTTCACTCGATTCGAAGGCTGAGGAGAGAAAATATGTTTCTAATGTCCTAAGGACAGATGGCTATACAAAAACCTTTCTCTGTAACTGCCAAAAACCAGTTACAACTAGTAACGCTCTTGATGAAAGGGAACCAGCGACTAGTTTTGCTGTTATTCCTTACATTCAGGGTGTTACAGAACCCATCAAGAGAATTTGAATAGCCACAACGCGAAAGTTCCTCAAAAATTTTTTCGGACTATGGGGTATATTTTCGCCAAACCTAAGGATCTCGTCACGAAAGAACAACGAACCGACGCCATTTATTCTATTCCTTGCAATGACTGTGATAACGAATACATCGGACAGGCCAAACGTCAGTTTGTTCCACGTTTAAAAGAGTATCAAAAAGCGGTTTTCTTTTGCAAAAAGGAAAATTCAGCTTTAGCGGAGCACACATGCCTAACTAACCATACAATTGGGTGGGATAATTCTAAAATTATCACCACTAATCGGTGTTACCACCAGCGCCTTTGTTTGGAGGCTTGGCATATTACTCCGCCCACGCTCCTTAAAATAGTGACGATGGCGGTTTGCTTCCTGACGCCTATTTACACCTCGTCAGAAAAAAAAGGCCGCTAATTAGTGATCATATAAAAGGACTTCTTGTTGCAGCGTTTAGATCACCCCTGATGAAGGCATTAGACAGGAGTGTCGAAACGTTGGGTCTATGAATCGTAACTACTTCGGTTACATTCATTAAATCTGTAAACCAGAGTGGCATCAAACCATGTCTGGCGGGAAAATGATTTATCATCACTTCCGGTCACGTGACAAGTTGCTAAGTGCTCCGTAGATTTGTCACGCACGAGTAAAACTTTCCGGTTCTCTACGACAAAATGGAGCAAATTTTTCTTGTTCAGCTCCTGTTTTTATCGAGCCTTATTATTTCTTTAGCGGCGGTAGATATCACCCTAAAGAACGATGATTTAATCCACTCGCCGTTCTCTGAGGAATTGGGAAACGACGCGAATCTGGATGGGCCAAAAGTTTTTACGAAGGAGGAGCTGTCGGTATACGACGGAACGAATGTAAGTAATATTCTATACTTTACAGTCGGTTAATTTGGATACATTTGATCTCCACGATCTCCTAGTTATTTACCTGTTGTCATCTTCAAAGGTGTACAGTGTAGAGGTTATTGGAATCCCTAAAAAGATTACGTGACATATCTAATCTCAATTTGGACTGCCAACGACGAGTGACATGATCTATGCCATGTTTAATTTTCTATTGTTCAATTTTGCTTCGTCATCTTTTTCGCTTCCAGCCTGATCTTCCCATCTACGTAGCGATCAAAGGGATTGTATTCGATGTCTCAGAATCGAAAAGTAAGACTTGGATCGTATTTTCTTACTGTTTGTCATCTTTCCATTTGCCACTTGTCAGTTGATGAGTAAAGATGCCGCAATTGTTTTTCTTTCTCCTCTGTGAGTAGAAGCTTATGGACCCGGAGGATCCTACAACAAGTTCACTGGCAAGGATGCATCAAGAGCTG